GTTTAATGTTGCTCTTTATTTGGGTAAATTTATCTTCGTAGTATTTAGTTTTGGCTCGTCTAATTATCTTAGATAGCAATAATGAGTAATTCTTTGAGAATTCTTTGGAGACAATTCCTAACCTATACTTTTTCTCAAGGTCATGTTTTTTATTAATAGATTTAAGTATTCCCTTTGTAAGCCAGGGATTGTTAAGCCTTTTGGTTGTGACTTGTTTTGTAAGCATAGGACAGTGGGTATTATAAAGGCTAAGAGTTTTTTGAAGAAAAGATTGAACTGCTAGGTTGATGTCCTCTATGTTACCTAACTCGGACTCCCAGTTGACATTATCAGTAGCAGTTATAAAATTGTCTATAGCAGTTTCATTGTGTAGTCTAAAACGTATCTCTCTTGACTCAAGAGGTGGTTTGCTAATGTTAGTTAAGAGAAATGTGGGGTAATGGTCTGTAGTGCTATCGGTGATTATACCTGAAGTAAGCGGAGAGGTTATATTTGTCCAGATGTGATCTAGAGTCGTGGCAGTGCTATCAGTGATTCTAGTAGGTCTAGTGATTAAGGGTATGAGGAAGCAGGAATTCATACAGTTGAGGAAGCTAACAGCAGTAGGGTGTTCTGGCTCGCAGAGGTCAATATTAAAGTCCCCTGCGATAATTAGGTGGTTTTTGTTCAGTCTGTTATCAAGTATTAGATTTCTAAGGTTTGAGTTTAATGATTAATCAAGTGTCAGGCCATGATCCCCTCTCTCTCTGTCTCTCTCTCTCTCTCTCTCTCTCTCTCTCTCTCTCTCTCTCTCTCTCTCTCTCTCTCTCTCTCTCTCTCTCTCTCTCTCTCTCTCTCTCTCTCTCTCTCTCTCTCTCTCTCTCTCTCTCTCTCTCTCTCTCTCTCTCTCTCTCTCTCTCTCTCTCTCTCTCTCTCTCTCTCTCTCTCTCTCTCTCTCTCTCTCTCTCTCTCTCTCTCTCTCTCTCTCTCTCTCTCTTCATAAGTAATGATCTTCATAAACATAACATAACATATCCATGACCATAATTAGTACAGTGTGAACTCTCTTAAACTATGCTCACCGTGAAATCTCGTTACTAAGCATAACTTGTCACTCTGCGAAACAAATTATTGACTATAAGTGCGACAGTGAGAATAAAAATGACCACTTATGTTTTGGAGTGCTATTTTAGTCAAGAAATACTGTAAAGGATGATTATTGACTAAAGTGAATTTCGCGGACTGCTTGTGTTTGATGTGTTGAACTGCATAAAAGGAAGCATATTTGCTAGAAAAAATTCCTGTGAAATAATGAGTGTTATATGTTTTGACTGTCTAGCTAATAGCGTATTGCCTGGCTAATAATGAAATGTCGCATTTTGTCTGACTCACTTAGCACAAGTGAAGAGAAAACATTGAAAAACTTGCAAAGGTTAAAAACTCTGTGAAATCATATCTGTTATGTTAAGTTTTGACTAGCTGATTAATAGCATACTACTACTACATTATTGTCCTTAAGTTATGTTTACCTCGATAGCGTTATAATGCTTGGAAATTGTATGTGCGGATTCCGTTTCCCTCTTACTGCACATAAATAATGGATGCTGTACAGTATTTTTTATGGAACATGACTCTTCTTATTCTTACCCCTTTTTAAAACTAGATGCAATAACCAAGCTATGTTTGCCTTCTCTCTCTTTCTCAATATGGATGTGGGTTGGTGTGGGTTATTTGTGTGGACTCGGGAGATATGATCACCACATATTAGTTTCTCAAAGAAAATGATAAGCTATGTTAGGATCTTTTATTTAACACACACACACACGACATCCGTGCAGTAGTGAGATTCCCTTTGATGGCTGTGCACGTGACAATGTAAAAATTTAAATGTGTAAAGATGTTTCGGAGTGCTATTTAGTCGAGAAATTATACAAAATTGTGTTTATTGACTAGTGAGAGCCCGTAGCAGGTATGGTGTGGGATATTGTGGTCCTTAACCTAGTCGTGCGAATAGACAGTCAACAACAATAGGTACACCGCTCGAATGCTCGCTCCCGCAGTCATGTGGTAGTGGCCCTCACCCCTATTTGATTTGGTAGAAGAAAAAAAAAATGAAGACTAGTAGTCCCTGTTTCTTAAGATGAAAAACTTTTAACTATAAAAATGTTTGACTGAGTGACTGACTGACTGCTTTTCTGGTCAGGTCTGCAGGTCTGCAAGAAATAATAGTAATGTAGGTAGGGAACATGTCTCCTCGGCTCTTTTATCTTCCACAAAGCCTTTCCTCCTTTCTCAATCCTATTAGTTCATGGTCTCGTGTTTCACTTTTTGTTAAAACTAAATCTACACACGCGATATGAAATGTGAAAAAAATCTTACATTATGCTATGTTAACAGTGCTTGAATAAAATTATTAAGAGTGCTAGGGTACTGTTGCGCACAGTCATCTCGCTAAGGCGGGTCGGTGACAGAATTGTCAAAATGATGTACCTTGCATACATCAGATCTTTAGTGGTTTATGCGGCACCTCTGCTTGTTTGATGACTGAAAGGACTTTGATGATACGAATAGTAATTGCTGACATTGAGCATATTCTCAAAACATAGTTTCTGCAAAAAAAAAAAAATAACATTAAATTAGATACGAGCTGTGATTTGAAAACAGAAGATGGGTGATGTGTGGCTTATTGTGTGAACTGTGGAGATATGATCACCACATATAAGTTTCTCAAAGAAAAGCGGTAATATTTTTCTTTGTGTTTGGATGTAATGGCTAAACATGGTTGACATTTTCAATAATGTTATTTGGTCATCAGACAAAGTTGATTTCCACGTTACGTTACAATGTGTTACAGAGGCTAAAAGTGGTAAACAGTAATATTTATATGGTAGGAGATGTAATGGAGATGGACTAAGTCATACTTTCATAATGTTATTTGGACTGCAGAAAGTTGATTTGCATTACGTTACAATGTGTTACAGAGGCTAAAACTGGCGGACACCAATATTTATATGGTAAGAGATAAAATGGGGATAGACTAAGTCTCACTTTTCATTTCAAAATGACATTTTAGACTGCAGAAAGTTGATGATTTCTGCGTTACGTTACGTTACATTGTGTTACAGAGGGCTAAAACTGGCAGACAGTAATATTTATATGGTAGGAGATGGACTAAGTCATACTTTGATTTAAAAATGTTATTTTAGTCTGTAGAAATTTGATTTCCGCGTTACGTTACAATGTATTACAGAGGTTAAAACTGGCAGGCAGTAATATTTATATGGTAAGAGATGTAATGGAGATGGACTAAGTCATACTTTCATAATGTTATTTGGACTGCAGAAAGTTGATTTGCGTTACGTTACAATGTGTTACAGAGGTCTAAAACTTGCAGACCGTAATATTTATATGGTATGAGATGTAATGGCGATATTGTGTTTGGGTAAATGGGGTTCACATTTCAATATTCAGACATCGGACAGAAAGTTGCTCGTTTCTCTTAAAATGATATTTGGGCAAATAACGAAGTTAGCATATTGGTCACGTTACATTAATGATATTTGGGCAAAGAACGATGTCATCATGTTGGTCGTGTTACGTTACAAGGTTACAAGGGTGAGAGTGATGGGGCTCGAAAAATTGACATTAGTCTTCCATACTCTGGTGCGCTGTCAGTCTAAGCGAAATGAAAAAAGATATGTGAACAGTGGCGGCAGGAGAAAGGAATTGATGTTACTTTTCCCCCAACTATAAAATGATCTGAATAGAGCGAGAGAGAGAGAGAGAGAGAAACCACTGACTGCTATGTGTATCCCATGCAGTTGTGTTTACAACAAATTATGATTTGTTATAATAATAAGATTGAAGACCCGCTTATGACTCGATATTCTTAAAAAATGCTATTTGAGCAAAGAATGATGATACCATGTTGGTCACATTGCGATACAAGGTTACACATATGATGAGAAATAATACTAAAGGCTTTGCTCAGAACATCCGGTCTGGGAAGGGTGAAGTGATGCTTGATGGTTTGGGCTTGGAAGGGGGGTGGGAGGGGGGCGGGGTAGGGGTTTGGTGAGGGTAGATGGGGAGAGGGTAAGGCCATCCCAGTACCTCGTCCATCTCACTACGCCTCAAACCGCCATGAAGGTTAGACCCTAACGAGACGGAATGCTGTTTCATTCATTCAGGAGTCTTGAACATTCTGTGGCATTGTCTTGCTATGATAACGCCGTTGTGTGTTACAAGGTCTGCACAGCAGTAATGGCTGTAGGAAGAAGAGGTGATGGAGACACGCATACATTTCAATGATATTTATTTGGGCCAGCAGATGTTGTGATCACAGTTAACAAGAACAATTTGTAGGTAGAGATTGACTTATAATGAATTTTGTAACTAGCTCGTCATGATTGTAACTTGCTTAGCTAAAAATGAATTGTGGGGTTCAGTCCTGGACTCCTTTATGCGTCTCTGCAAGCCTTTACTGCCCATATGACTTCCTTGTGTGAGATTGGACTGTTTAGCAACACGTAGGTAGTTCTTGATGGAATTTGTATGTTGTGCTCATGGCACGCCTTTGCTATGTCCCAGTGAAAGTGTCAGGAGAGAGAGAGAGATAGGGAGAGAGAGAGAGAGAGAGAGAGAGAGAGAGAGAGAGAGAGAGAGAGAGAGAGAGAGAGAGAGAGAGAGAGAGAGAGAGAGAGAGAGAGAGAGAGAGAGAGAGAGAGAGAGAGAGAGAGAGAGAGAGAGAGAGAGAGAGAGAGAGAGAGAGAGAGAGAGAGAGTGAGTGATAGATTGAGATTTAGGCTTAGACATATCACCATTATAATTACTGGAGGTGCACATCAGAAGACAATAGTGTACATTATATAATGTACACTGTATATTAGCAGGGTATACAAAACTGGAAACTATATAGACGGCTTGAATGTTTATACAAGACCCAGATCTTCCTCTACGTAGATGCAAGTAGATGAAGACTGATAGGTAAGCACATTCACACTCAGGATAATTGTAATCAATTTTGTTCTAAGAATTTTACTTCCATAGAACAATTTTCTAATGCTCAGTGCTGCAGTCAATAAACCAATACAGAAAAATGTGTATTATAATAATATACATATATGTATAATAAAATTTACATAAAAATTAGATTTTTGGAAACATTTCATTAATGTCAGTAAGAAAAATTATATTAATCATACATATATTATTTAACAGTTTCTCCAAGAGAATGTTTAAGGTTTATTGTGGGTGATCAATAAAGAACATTATATAGGTATTAAACATTTTTGTAACAGACTTACAAAAATAAGTGTTTGCCATAAGCCTTTAATAAAGAACTTAAGATCTGGTTCTGTTTCGATTCCTTTTAACATGTGTTAATGTGATCTTTTAACGTGAGTTAATAAGTATGGCTGAATCAAATTATAAGCTGATATTATATAAATACATTGAATTATCATTAACAAGTAATTGTATTTGCTGTTGTTGTTCCGTGGGATTTTGTACTTATTACTGTAGTCCCCAAAGTTGCTATGAATCCTACTATGGTCCTCTAAGTTGTTATACATTATATTGTATCTTCTAAGTTGATATAGTTTATATGGTTGTCCCTTAAAATGTTATACTTTTTATTGTGCCCCCGAAGTTATTATAATTCCTATTGTAATACCCTTAATCATTATACTTCCTATTTTAGTCTCATAAATCCTTCCTATTGCAGGCTCCTAAATCCATATACTTCGTATTGCAGGCTCCTAAATCCTTATACTTCCTATTGCAGGCTCCTAAATCCTTATACTTCCTATTGCAGGCTCCTAAATCCTTATACTTCCTATTGCAAGCTCCTAAATCCTTATACTTCCTATTGCAGGCTCCTAAATCCTTATACTTCCTATTGTAGTCTCCTAAATCCTTATACTTCCTATTGTAGTCTCCTAAATCCTTATACTTCCTATTGCAGGCTCCTAAATCCTTATACTTCCTATTGCAGGCTCCTAAATCCTTATACTTCCTATTGCAAGCTCCTAAATCCTTATACTTCCTATTGCAGGCTCCTAAATCCTTATACTTCCTATTGTAGTCTCCTAAATCCTTATACTTCCTATTGTAGTCTCCTAAATCCTTATACTTCCTATTGCAGGCTCCTAAAGCCTTATACTTCCTATTGCAGGCTCCTAAATCCTTATACTTCCTATTGTAGTCTCCTAAATCCTTATACTTCCTATTGTAGTCTCCTAAATCCTTATGCTTCCTATTGTAGTCTCTTAATTCCTTATACTTCCTATTGTAGTCTCCTAAATCCTTATACTTCCTATTGCAGTCCAATAAGTTTTTTATTTTTTTTTTCTCCAAAGTTGTACTTGTTGCAGTAGTCTCCTACCTATATTAACTTGTGGAGATTTCGTCTTAGGCCACGAGACCTGATCTCTAACCAGGCCTCCTTAAGCTATGCTTGTTGCAACAGTTTCTTCAGTTACACTTGCTGCAGTAGTGCTCTAGTTATACTTGTGTCAGTAGTCTAATCTGTTATATTTGCTGAAACAGTCCCCTAAGTTATACTTGTTTTAGTAGTTCTCTTAGTTATATTTGTTGTAGTAATCCCCCCCCCCCTAAATTATACTTCTTATAGCAGTCCCCTAAGTTATATTTATTGTAGTAGTCTCTACAATTTATAATTGTTGTAGTAGTCCCCCTAAGTTCTAATTGTTGTAGTAGTCCCCCTAAGTTCTAACTGTTGTAGTAGTCTCCTAAGCTATATGTGTTGTCAGTCAAATGCCAGACATTGTTCTTGTTCTCATCATCAAAGAATTATTTTTTTTATTAATTAATTTTAAGTAGTTGTATTAGAACTATTAATTTTAAGTAGTTCAAGGTGTTGTTAAGGACGTTTAACTTGTTGTTCCACCTGAGAGTGATGGGGCGGTAGTACCTCCTGCTGTTGTCATCTAGACCCCAGAGATTTCTTGTATCTACTTTTGTAACTTCTAGGCTGCTGTTGTTGTTCCTTTTGTAGTCCGTCTTGTAGTACTACCGTCCGATTGTTGGACCCGTTCAACCAGCCGCGGTTGTTGGACCCGTTGAGCCATCTGTGGTTGTCGGCGTTGAGCCACCTGTGGTTGTCGGCGTTGAGCCACCTGTGGTTGTCGGCGTTGAGCCACCTGTGGTTGTCGGCGTTGAGCCACCTGTGGTTGTCGGCGTTGAGCCACCTGTGGTTGTCGGCGTTGAGCCACCTGTGGTTGTCGGCGTTGAGCCACCTGTGGTTGTCGACGTTGAGCCACCTGTGGTTGTCGGCGTTGAGCCACCTGTGGTTGTCGGCGTTGAGCCACCTGTGGTTGTCGACGTTGAGCCACCTGTGGTTGTCGGCGTTGAGCCACCTGTGGTTGTCGGCGTTGAGCCACCTGTGGTTGTCGGCGTTGAGCCACCTGTGGTTGTCGGCGTTGAGCCACCTGTGGTTGTCGGCGTTGAGCCACCTGTGGTTGTCGGCGTTGAGCCACCTGTGGTTGTCGGCGTTGAGCCACCTGTGGTTGTCGGCGTTGAACCACCAGCGGTTGTTGGACCTGGTGAAGTACCCGGAGAAGGACCCATGGTTGATTGAATAGGGATTGTTGTCAGTGGTATTTGCGTGGGACAGAGTGACTGAGTATTAAAGAAGATAGGTGGAATTGTAGGTATAGTTACCGTGGTTCCTCCCTGTTGGCCAATGCTCCTCTGGACTGCATTGATGTTATTTACCAAAGAGGTTGCCACAGATTTTGCGGCATCTACGGCAGTATTAAAGGCGGTAAAAGTTCCCACCATCGTCGACAGGAAGGTGGCATCGGGAGTATATTGTTTATCAATAATACTTTTTGTTACTGCACTAACATTGGACATCGCCATTATCATTTGCCCATTCAGTGAAGATAGTGTGCCAAAGTCGTTTTGGCTTATCGCCAACAGAACTTGTGTGGCGAGCGTTTGAAGCCCCTTTAGGTCAGCTGGAACGCTGCGTTTCCTTCTCCTTCTTCCTATTGCTGCGACAATTGCGGCTATAAGAGTATTCAGCTGAGGGAGAAGGGTTTGGATATTTACAATTGAATTGTTTATTGTAGCTAAGGCTGATTGTAGTAGGGTGAGTTGTGCTAAGAGACCAGTGATGCTGGCTGCAGTAATTCCACTAGTTACAATGCTGGATGCAGTAGTTACAATGCTGGCTGCAATAGTTGTAGTTACGGCTGCAGTAGTTGTAGTGCTGGCTGCAGTAGTTGTTGTTCTGGCTGCAGTAGTTGTAGTGCTGGCTGCAGTAGTTGTAGTGCTGGCTGCAGTAGTTGTAGTGCTAGCTGCAATAGTTGTAGTGCTGACTGCAGTAGTTGTAGTGCTGGCTGCAGTAATTGTAGTGCTGGCAGCAGTAATTGTAGGGCTGACTGCAGTAGTTGCAGTAATTGTAGGGCTGACTGCAGTAGTTGTAATGAAGGCTCCAGTAATTGTAATGATGGCTGCAGTAGTTGCAATGCTGGGTGGAGGCGTTGTAATGCTGGCTATAGAAGAAAAGATCGGCAAGGTAGGGAATGTAACAAAGGGAGGGACGCTTGGTATAATCACTGAAGTTCCTCCATGATCGAATATGTTGCGTTGAAGGTCGGTAATTTCTCTGAATATTGTTTCTCTGATTGCATTAGCATTGGCTATGGCATCCTCGATGGTTTTAAGACTAGAATGAACTGCTAAATGAAGATCTCGATCCCGTATCAATGATCTATTTACTATCAACTGTATTATTAGGATCAAAGTGTTTCTTGCAGCATTCAGCTGATAAAGAACAGAAGATAAAATTGAAGTGTTTCCTGTTGTTATCGCATTTCGAGTATCTTTAATGAGAGCTTGAATTCCGTGGATAATTTCAGAGGGGATGTGTTGTCTCATGTGTCCTGTTATCGATACATGAATTGCGGCTGCAAGATTTTTAAGTAAAGCTTCAACTTGAGTAAGAGCCGTAATTACTTTATCTATAGCTTTTAAGACGGAATACAGTCGCCTGAATTGCGAATAGAGATCATCTAGTATTATATTTCTTGTTGTAGTTCTTATAATTTCATGTGTATTGGGACGTGTGGTAGTGTGAATTCTGTTTGGTGGTCGGGGCGGTAGTTTCACTGGACAAATGGCCAGTGGTGGCACGGGCTGGACGATAGGTAGAGGAATAATGGGTCCTCCAAGTTGGTTGAGTTGAGTTTGAAGGGTGTTGATCCGGCTTTTTAAATTGTTTGTTTGTACATTACCAGCGCCTACAGCTTTGTTGACGCTGGCTAGAACTGACTGTACGTCTGACAGAAGTTGTGAATTGACTGACGAAGAACTATTAATTTTGCAAGATATTTGAAACAATCTGGTCTGCGCCATATTTAGCAGTGAAAGCTGACTATTAACAGTGGTAAAGTCTCCATTTGTCAACGCGGTTGCTGTGTTGTCGATGATCGCCCGAAGCCAAGTAATGTCTTGTGATATGCTGCGTCTTCTCCTTCCTAGTCCACCAAGTATTGCGTTAATTGTGTTAAGAAGAGTAGTAAGTTGAGTTTGAAGGGTTTGAAGAGTCGTTACCGCACTAAGTGTGCTATTTAGAGTGGTGACCAAATTGTTGAGTTGCGTAATGAGATTAGCTATTATTAATGTAAGGTTCACTGGAGATGTTGTGACTACAACACTGGTTGTAGTGACTACAGTAGTTGTGCTGGCTACAGTAGTTGTGCTGATTCTAGTAGTTGTATTGACTGCAGTAGTTGTACTAGGTGCAGCAGTTGTGCTGACTCTAGTAGTTGTATTGACTGCAGTAGTTGTACTTGGTGCAGCAGTTGTAGTTGTATATGATACTGAGGTCGTCACTCCTAAAACGGAGAAAATATTAATAATATTTTATTCTCTCTCTCTCTCTCTCTCTCTCTCTCTCTCTCTCTCTCTCTCTCTCTCTCTCTCTCTCTCTCTCTCTCTCTCTCTCTCTCTCTCTCTCTCTCTCTCTCTCTCTCTCTCTCTCTCTCTCTCTCTCTCTCTCTCTCTCTCTCTCTCTTTCTCTCTCACACACACACAGCCGTGGGCCTCACGACTGAGTGGACAGAGCTCGGGATTCGTAGTTCTAGGGTCCGGGGATCGATCCACGGCGGAGGGGGAAACAAAAGGGCATAGTTTCTTTCACCTTGATGCACCTTTTCACCTAGTAGTAAATAGGTACTGGGAGTTAGACAGCTGCTACGGGTTGTTTCCTGTGTGCTCACCTAGTTCTGCTCAACTAGTTGTGTTTGAGGGGGTTGAGCTCTGGCTCTTTGGTCCCGCCTCTCAACTGTCAATCAACTGATGTACAGATTCCTGAGTCTACTGGGCTCTGTCATATCTACATTTGAAACTATGTATGGAGTCAGCCTCCACCACATCACTTCCTTGTGCATTCCATTTACTAACTACTCTGACACTGAAAAAGTTCTTTCTAATGTCTCTGTGGCTCATTTGGGTACTCAGCTTCCACCTGTGTCCCCTTGTGCGTGTGCCACCCATGTTAAATAATCCATCCTTGTCCACCCTGTCAATTGCCCTGAGAATTTTGTATGTGGTGATCATGTCTCCCCTAGCTCTTCTGTCTTCCAGCGACGTGAGGTGCAGTTCACGTAGTCTGTCCTCATAACTCATGCCTCTTAGTTCTGGGACTAACCTAGTGGCATACCTCTGAACTTTTTCCAGCTTCGTCAAGGGCGGCGCAATGCTGTGGTTAAGTGATAGATCACTTGTTAGTTTAGCCACGTCATATCTCAAGGACTACCACATAATGTGCTAAAATTTGTTATCTAAGTCGACCACACTAGTTTGTCCTTTACAAAATTATACACAGGAGAATGTTGACTGTTGAATACGAAGTTAGAAGTGGAGAGACCTTTTAAATTAAGATGCGTAGAACTGTTAAAATAAATATAAATGCACTTGAATGAATGAAGTGGAGGACCAGAAGAGGGTGGAGGAGGTGGAGGAGGGGAGACAGAAGAAAGGGAGAGAGGAAAAAGGAAACTTACTTGGATAACAACAGAGACACTTGGTTCCCTTGCAGCCCTTTTTGTTTATCAATCCTGTACAGAGCTTCTTACTGGAGACACAGTAACCACCGAGAACATTGCAGGCGCTCAATGGCTTGCAAGCCTTGGCACAGCAGACACACTTCTTCTTGGAGCAGCCTTTGGCTATCTTGCGCTCCGTCGACCCGCACTTCTTCTTGCACACGCCCTTGTATATCTTACACTTCTTTTTTGGTTTCAGTGCACAAGCTGCTTGTAAAAAATAAGCATTATTATCAGTTCTGACTCCAAATTATCTAGGTCATTCATACTTTGAAGTCTGGAAGAAAAATATGGATAACCTTAGCATAATTTCCCTACATAATACACATGTGCAATAAACTCGTTCGTCAGAAGCTTGTGACATTTATTGGTTCAAATAACTCACGTAAACTGTCTAAGGCGGTTCTTGAAATATTATCTAATGCAAAAATTAGAGTCACTATTGTGGCTAGAACACCTGACTCTCAGCCACCTATCAACGAACAATCATCCTTCATCACCTCGTACCATCAATTAATGTGTTTGAACAGCAGACTGACAGACTTCACACCGTCAAGGTCAGCTAACTAGCGAGGACAGCTAATGTCTGTCAGCCTGTGAGTACTTAAGCAAGAATGAAGACTTTAGATTATATAGTAGTGAAGAGCAGATCTTTCTAGTATATGGGGAGGTCAAGGGCTATAATTATTTTCTTTTATATGAATTTCTGTGTTTAGAAGAAAAATGAATGGCCACTACATCTTACATAGAATTTTATATCTCTTTAAAAATGGCTACCAACACAAACTTCTATGCTGTTATAGGCAAGCTGCAAGATAAATGAAACAAACAGGACTAACTACATAATTAACATGAATAACTACAAAATATTGACATAACACATTACAAACTTCAAAATAAACAGATCAAAGTGAAAGTGGGAAATAACTGAGATCACTGAAGCCAGCCATCTTAACTTGGCATACTTCTGTACAGAGCAGAAAACGATGGGACGTTGTCCTGGCCAGATTAAAACTTGGACATTCACGGTTAACACATTGCCACTTAATAGAACGAAAACTATGAAATTAACAGTGAAATATGTAATAAACTTACAGCACATCGGCACTAGGTAAATCCACAAAGCATAAATTACAAATAATACCTGTATTTAGAACAATATTTGTAACTTTCAGGCATTTCTAAACAATACACAAAAGAGCTGTTATGCAAGGCTATTAAACTTCAAGAAATTTAAGCTTCACTTTGGAAGATCTTATTGTGATTGTCTCATGAATATTTACATTAATAACTTCACGTAAATTCCACTAAGACAAAGAACATTCACTTGCACAACTTACGTGAGAGACAACACACACACGACTTCCCCTTGCACTTGCCAGCAACAACTTTGGTCTTGCAGGTTTTGTTCTGGCACTTCCCGCCGACTTGAATACACTTCTTATGAGGTTTGCACTTTATCTTTGACTCAAAACTATGGCTTTCACTTGATTCATGAGAAGCTCCAGTACTAGAGTGCTTTACTGTTTTCTTCCCTGCCTTCTTTACTGCTGTTTTGTTACCTTTCTTTTTTGCTTTCAGGCTATTTTTCTGTAGTTTTTTATTTTTTTCATTTTTATTTATATTTTGGTTTTCATTCTTTTTTTTACTTTTTTTGATGGTTTTGACATTATTTTTTATTTTATTGGCAGTTTTAAGTTTTTTTTGATTGGTCTTGTGTTGCTTTGATGCCTTTCCTTTGTCCTGATGTTTCTTAGTAGGTTTGTCTCGCTTTTTATTTTTGTTACCACTCTTGCTTTTGTTGCCTTTTTGTCTTTTGTTTTCGTTACTCTTTGGCGATTTTGTATGTTTGTTAGCTTTGGCCGTTTGTTTGTTACTTTGTTTATAATTAGATTTTGCTTTCTTTGGTTTGATTAACTTTCCCTGTTGACGGCTGTTTTTCTTGTGTTGTTTGTTTCTGGATTCACGTAAATTCTTACGGAATTTATTATTTTGTTTCTCCCCTGCGATGACTTTCTTTTCTTTATTGGCTTTTTTGCCAGCGATATTCCTGTTCTTTGAAACTTTTTTCCCGGCTACTTTCCTGTTCGTTAAAGCTTTTTTCCCAGTGATTTTCCTCCCCTTAGCGGCTTTTTTCCCAGTGATTTTCCTTCCCTTAGCGGCTTTCTTCCCAGTGACTTTGCTTCCCTTAGCGGCTTTCTTGCCAGTAACTTTCCTTCCCTTAGTGGCTTTCTTACCAGTGACTTTGCTTCCCTTAGCGGCTTTCTTGCCAGTGACTTTCCTTTCCTTAGCGGCTTTCTTGCCAGTTTGTCCTCCTCCCACAGTCTTGTATCTGCCAGCTCTTACGGAAATGCGTTCCTTGCTACCTCCACGCGCCTCTCTGCTCTTAAAGTTCGATTTTGTCTTTTTCTGTACATTGCGGCGTTTTTCTTCATTCTTTGTCCAGAAACCTTTACTTAGTTTATGAGTTTGTGATTCACCATCATTTTTGACACGGTCAGCTTCTTCCTTACTCTTAGTGTGACGTCGTTTTTGTTCATTCTTGGCTCTGCGAACTCTTGCTCTTCCCTCGGGATTGCCAGAACTACTGTCGTCGTGGTCACCTTTTATATAATGGTCCTCCAGGCCAGAGTCTCTGGCTCTCTTGTCTCGCGGCTCCAGAACTGTTCTCTCCTGTTCTTGTGGTTCTGCTTCATTAGTTTTTCCATTAACGTTTTCCTGTAATTGAAAATATTGTTTCCAATAAAAATATGTAGGAACACACTCATATATATATGTACATATATATATATATATATATATATATATATATATATATATATATATATATATATATATATATATATATATATATATATATATATATCATGCTTTTATTTATTTGTTTTGGGTGAGGTGATATGACATAAACGTTTTGGGTGAGGTGATATGACATAAACGTTTTGGATGTGGTGACAGAACACGAATCAATGGGTATAAATTGGGTATGAAAACATAAGAATGGAAGTAACTCTTGCTGCTTCTATGTTGGTTCGGGGTCTTGAATGTGGGTAGAATATAGTTATGCATTATATAGTTATAGTTAACAGCCAATTGACGCATAACTATATTCTACCCACTTCAAGACCCCGAACCAACATATTTATTTTATAAGAAAATGCCTGTTTGTCTGTCTGTCTGTCCATGGTAGGAAGCCAGATGATTGGGGTTATCTTCACCCAACTTTGCAGAGGGCATGGTATGTGTTACATGGTAATACGAGATTTTATTCACTTACCTCATGAAAATATGTGGAAATTTTCCCTGTGGGAGGAAAAATCTTCCCACAGCTTGGAAACCTTTATCAAGCTCCAACAGCTCCTCAAAGCCAACGGGAGACTATTATATTTGTAAATATTTCTCTTGGCTAGGCTCCTCCCGCCATTGGAACTATTACCACACCAAAGGAAAACAATTTTTTTTGAGATATATACAAGAGTTGTTACATTCCTGTACAGGCACTAGTACGCGTAGCGTTTCGGGCAAGTCCCTGGAATACGACCCCCACGAAGAATCGTCCAAGTACCCATTTTACTGTTGAGTTAAACAGAGGCTACAGTTAAGGATTTATGCCCAGTAAATCCTCCCCGGCCAGGATACCAACCCATGACAAAGCGCTCGCGGAACGCCAGGTGAGTGTTTTACCACTACACCACGGAGACTGGTAAATTATATTACTTTTATAAGAGAAAGACAGAGATAGTCAGAAAAAGAACAGAGACAAACATGGAGACAGGCATACAAATACAGAGATAGACAGACAAACAAAGGGAAACAGACAGGCTCGTGGCGCAGTGGTAACACACTCGCCACGCGAGCGATTTGGCCTAGGTTCGTGTCCTGGCCGGGGAGGATTGACTAGCGCCAGTCATTATAACTATACGCTTCTGTTCACCCAGCAGTGACTGGGTCCTGGTTGTTAAATGATTGAAGGTCATGTTCTAGGGAAACTGGTGGGAAAGGCTTACCATGAGCTGAAGAGAAGGAATAGCTCTTAGCCTACTAACAGGAGGCAGCAGTCGTCTGTTACTGTACCCATCTGTGTAAACAATAAAAAAAAGGCCTGCAGAGAGACCGGGTTGACCGTGGCAAAGAGAGTAACGGTAAGACAGAAAGACTCAGAGATAAACATCACACAGAGAAAGACAAAGGCAGAATCAGAGACATACAGAGATAGGGAGAGAATGAAAAAGGAGGAATGTTTGAAGAGAGGGAAGAAGGAAGACAAGGTAAGAGGATGGTGGTAGAAGACTGGAGGTGAGGTAAACAAACATTTCTGAAAACACTGCTATCAAGGCCACCGAGGTTACACAGTGTCCATCCATTTGACAACACTGTGAGAGTAGAGTGTACAGAGCATCTCACACACCAGTCAATGTCAAGCATTGCTCCTCCTGAAGCCAGACAACGGAACATATGAGTCCAGCGAAGCCCACACAAGCTTCAGCAAGAGTCATGCAAGGTTCGTCTTCCACAGTTCAACTTAGTCCACACAGACAACTTTCACTAAGCATATTTGCCCGAAACGCTGTGAGAATTAGTGGCTTTAGGCATTATGTGTACTAGCTCTATCTATAAATCCAAAATTATTTGCAACTCATCTTCTATGTATGTACTTTGACCTAAATAAATATTTAAATTTGAATTGGAATATATAATAGTAACGGTTAAGGTAGCAAAACTGGAGAGACTTACATTCTACCAAAGTCAACCTGCAAGAATATATTACTGACATAACACGTCCCAAAGACTGCTAGGTACTGAATAAAGTACAAATCCTGCAAGGGGAAATCATGTGCTTGGAAAAATTGGCCAAATGGAAAGACGCAAATGTGTCATACCACTGGGATGTCCAGTCGACTTTCCCCAGAGTTCAATGATGGAGGAGGAGTAATGACACAGAGACAGGTGAATGAAATGCTTCACAAAATAGGAGATGGTTGTTGGTCGGGATAGGAAGCCTATTAGGCTTATCAAGGTCTTATTGGGCTTATTAGGCTCTTTCAGGTCAACTACTGATCTTCCCCCGGGATATAATTCCACTACAGTTGACTTACTCTCGGGTACTTATTTACTGCTAGGTGAACAGAGTCATCAGGTGAAAGGAAACTTTGCCTATATCCTTCAGTTCTGCCGCTGAAATTGATCCCGGGACCTTTTGACTGTAACCCAACTGCGCCTACCACGGCTCCAAAGGATCAATGTTGAGGGTGCAGCATGATGTATCCAACCAATGGATGTACTGTATAGTCAAGCACAAAGGAAACTAGACTATAAGAGCCAAATTAACAATCTGTGGTGGAGGAATTCATCCTACCTGGAGCACAGTCAGTAAGGTAACAGCTCACGTCAGGATAAATCAGGAGGCCAGCATGGCATACACCAGCACCAGTGTCTAGAACACACGTAAAAGTCAGCTATTACCTACTATCACAGAAAAGTAAACAAGTGTAAAACTTCAGCATTTACATTCTCTCAAGAGAGTAAACTCGTGTAAAACTTCAGCATTTACATACTCTCGCAGGAAAACATTCACGTATACAGTTTCAACATTTACCTACTCTCATGGTAAGAAAGCTCCATGAACGTCATATGCATTAACTAGCAAAGCTTTTACTTTGTTGTTGGTAACGCGGTCCTTATTCTAATCCTCTGACCACGGCACTGGCTTACTGTTCCCTTCGAGGCCATTAGAGATGATTACCATCATCAGGTTAATTCAGGTAAATTAACTGGTACCAAAATATTTCACGACGTAAGCTTTTACTCGGTATGCTGATAGTTAGAATTTACCTTGTCTGGAGTCTTCCACGTAGACTCAAAGAATTCATTGGTAATTTAATAGAGGAGAGAGCTACCATACCGAAGCAAGACTCCTTGAGCCGTCCGAATAACACAACGACCACAACTTCTGGCGAACTTTACAATAACTATCTCAGGTTTGACCAACAAGTAATCTTCTCGCCAATTATATGCAACTCTTAAGAACAAATATCACTCAATGCATGTTGACAATACTGTTCCCTCAGTATTCAAAGTATCACTTTATGCTCCATATTAAGGATTTTAGCTGTATGTTTTTAACTATTGTTTATTAGCTGAAGATGTACAGCAAAATAATAACTATAAGTGTTACAAATTATTGCCAATAACTTGCAATATTTATATTTATATAATAATTTATAGTTTTCTATTACAAGGAAGATGTGGAAGAAAAACAAGGGAATATCTGTGAATGTAGAACAAGGGGACATATCACTATAAAACTAGAACAATGAACGTATAACTATGAAAGTAGAAGGGGTCATATAACTGTGAAGGTACAATAGGAGGATCCACTGAAGGTTCCACTGGCGGATCTAAGTAAATAAAAAATATAAACAAATGTTATAACAAAATGATTAAAGCTATCAAAAAGAATTAAGTTAAAATTGGGCAAATTTAAGTTTAAACATTCATGGTGGTAAACTCTAGACAGTTTACAGAAAACAAACAAACTCGACAAACTGTAAAGCAGCATAAAGAAATAAATTCTTTGTTACATTAGATAACCAAAAAAAAAAAACATACGCAAGCAAGGGTCCAGAAAGCCAACTACGGTGCTCGAGTAAAAAATTAATGTTTCGTCATTTTCAAAAGTCTCTCTGTAATGGCGTATGTTTGGGTCAAGTTTCAATGGTTCGTCCATACCTGTAACAGAAGAAAAATGCAGAAGACAGCACCAGCCAAAACCAAAGCCTTCATGCTGGTGGTGTGCAGCTGTGGCTGTAGGAGTGTCGCGGCTCTTGACTCTACCGTCGCTGCTGCAGAGGACTACACCGATGAGGGCTCCAACGGGGGCTGAGAGCTCAGTCCCACAACCTCCCCTGACCATTGAAGAGCAAACTCTGACACTCAAAAACCGGCAATGCATTTATACAGAAGCAGAGAGTGCATCTGTGCCTTCACCTGCGGCATTGCCTTACAGGTGTTCGGGTCATTTCGTGATGAATCAAAATGTGTACATAGAACGTGCATTGTATCGAATAACACTCTGGACTTGTAACTAATCAAGAATCTCGTTTTTTCTTTCCAAGCTGATTGCTTATCAGACGTTTGTACTTCACCGTTTGCATATTTAGATTTGATTGCTTGTTTTTTATTAGTGTTATATATTTAATATTGAATTTTGTCTACTATACATTCATATATATATATATATATATATATATATATATATATATATATATATATATATATATATATATATATATATATATATATATATATATATATATATATATATATATATATATATATATATATATATATATATATATATATATATATGACCGAAAAAGTAAGATTAATAATTCTAACACGAATTTTCTCGATCTTTCTTACGTTTCTTTTCACTGTTGATGGTAATTCAAAGATCAATTCTCCAAAATTCATTTTTATTTCTAGTCTGACGCAACACTTGAGCGCGTTTCGTCAAACTTATTACATTTTCAAAGACTTTAGTTCACACAAACACATACAACTTTAACTGAATAGAGCTTAAACATCTTTCGAGTTTTTATACCTACATTTGGGTGAAGTGACATGTTACAATAGCTTTGGATGAGGTGAAAATAAACTTTTAACACAAGACAGAACACGAAACAATGAAACAGGTATTAAAAGTAGGTAACTGCAGAAGGCCTATTTTTATTGGCCCATATTTCTTGATGCTTTTACATTGGAGCGGAGTCTTGAAGTGGGTAGAATATAGTTGTGCATTAATTGGCTGTTGATTGCTGGTGTTGACTTCTTGATGTGTAGTGCCTCGCAGACGTCGAGCCGCCTGCTATCGCTGTATCTATCGATGATTTCTGTGTTGTTTGCTAAGATTTCTCTGGTGATGGCTTGGTTGTGGGAAGAGGCTATATGTTCCTTAATGGAGCCCTGTTGCTTATGCATCGTTAAACGCCTGGAAAGAGATGTTGTGGTCTTGCCTATATACTGAGTTTTTTGAGGCTTACAATCCCCAAGAGGGCATTTGAAGGCATAGACGACGTTGGTCTCTTTTAAAACGTTCTGCTTTGTGTCTGGAGAGTTTCTCATGAGTAGGCTGGCCGTTTTTTTTTGGTTTTATAGTAAATTGTCAGTTGTATCTTCTGATTTTTGTCTGTAGGGATAACGTTTCTACAGACAATATCTTTCAGGACCCTTTCCTCCGTTTTATGGGCTGTGGAAAAGAAGTTCCTGTAAAATAGTCTAATAGGGGGTATAGGTGTTGTGAT